GCTTCAAAGTAATGTGAACGTGTGCATGATAAATAACTATTGAGTCTCTAGTCGAAATAGTTCTTCAATAGCAATAGGGCTAGGTATTTAGGACGATTGCACTGGATGTGCCCCAAATTCTGCTACACTAATGTCTTAATGTGTAATGCCCTAATTCCGCATTTTTCGAAGCCGAGCTTTTTTTCTTAAGCAGTCATAGATGAAGCGTTTTTTCGTCGCGTAATTTGAACCAAAACGCACTGAATCGGACATATTTTATTCCCATTTACATAAGCGTCGTAATACTCCCATAGGAAATCGTATCCTCTTCTTCGAATCGTGCTTCAAGTATTATTTCTGACGTAGATTGCATTATCAGTGAATTAACAGAATGCTATTTTTAGCAGCGGCGATTTATCGATGATTCCTTTCAGTGACTCACTCGATCCTTCGATCGATAGTGGAATCACTCGGCTTTTTAGACACTTGTAGATGGAACCTACTACGAATCACAAATTTTCCGCCGCTAGTTTTACGTAGTACAGTCAGCCTCAAATAGTTTGTGACACCCGAAGTAGCCAAAAAGTTCGCAACACGTCATTGTTGTGTTTTCGAATTTTTTGGCCAGTTTGGGTGTCACGAACTTTTTGACGTTGACTATACTAGTATATAGTTTATTCTATGCATGAACTAAAGATATTGCTCAAAATTTTGTAGTCGGTTTCGTTCGTTCCGTACCGGTACTGACTCTTCGATATTTCTGATTAATTTCTTTGCGGGTCCAATGACAGTTTAACTTTCCCCCGGGACAAACTTGACCTTCACTGGTTGGGTTATCGGCGGTCAAGCTGTAGATCCTGGCTACACAGGAGTTGCAGCGGTGGGAAAGAGAGGTGGGAATAGTCCCGTGACTTCGATAACTAATTGATTCTTGATCGCCGATGCTAAAATTAGCATGGTTTGGCAATAAATAAATACGAAAATTCTTAGGAAATCGATTACGAAATTGACTGTTTCAGTAACTTACTGAAATTCGAAAAATACTGAATGAAAGGGCTTAATTATTGCTAGTCGTGCTTACCTAACTGTGCTTGTTTTGTTTTCAGTTGTTTTTGAGCAAGGACGAGGTAAATGTGGCACATAATGTATTGCACGTATTACATTATTTACCTATGTAGTTGCACCTCATTAGTAGTTTTGAGTAGTGTGTATTTTGCATGTTGATTTTTGTTTAGGAATCTTCACTGTTTTCATTCCAACTAGATTTTTATAAGAAACGTTTTCTTCATTTCTTAAAAGGATGTTTTTTTATAATCATTTGGAATCTTTAAAGATTATAAATACTGTCGCAAATGAAACCATTAGTAGTTTTTAAGATGAAAACGAATTTTATTTACTTAATAAATTACAACGTTGGCCGACACCGACATTAACTATGCACGAATGTTAAATTCGTTTGTCAGTTTGATTGAGTTGAATTTCATCAGTTAATAAATAACTAAATCGTATTTTTTATCGTAAATGAAACTTGCATGACATCAAGGCTAGTAGCTGTCCAATTAATCATTAAAATTATTTATTATGAGATTCCTGTAAACCGAGATTTTGCAATAAAAGCCATCGGGCTTAAGAGATAACGCAATTATTTGTAGCAGCTAATATTTCCCTCCACTTTATAACTTCAAAAAGTCGAATTTCAAGCTGAAACTCCTATAAATATTTCCAAGGGTGTTGAATTTTACAAAACCTATCAATTATTCTCTGCTAACAGCCCAAGTCGTTAGTCTAAAAGTAATTAGCTGTCCGAAATATTGTCAGCTAAAAATGGCTGTTTTTGTTTAGTTCAGGAAACGCTAATTAAATATTATTGGACAGGACAATAAATAGATATTAATCACAAACACTTTTAAGTTCCTACTAAATATCTGTACAGTGTACAGTCAACGTCAAATACTTCGTGACACCCGAAGTAGCCAAAAAGTTCGCAACACGTCTTTGTTACAATAGAATACGGTTTTTTTGTCAACTTTTTGGCCACTTTGATGTCACGAACTATTTGACGCTGACTGTATGTACCTACTTACATAGAGCTTCAGACGTTAAAAAAGACGAAAATCTAAAAATCTTTTCGTCATCGCGTCCACTTTGTTATTTAATTTACTTTTATTAAGCGACAGATCAAACCTAAAAATAAATAGTAATTGCTAATTAACGTCACGCTATGTAGCACTGAATACTCGAAACTTCAATTAGTATATTTAAAAGCGATTGATCGATTGTGACNTTTAAATTAATGGGACTGCTTACTGCGTCGGTTCTCCTACTTTTCATATGCTAACTGCAGGATTTGTAGAAAAAGCGCATGATAAATACTTTGGAGAGTTTCTGTTTGTTCCCTTGAAACCTTTGTATTTGTTTTTTCATTATGTGGGATATTATGATGAGCTCTTTACCATCATTCAATTGCTGTCAAATAATCCTGTCTAGAACTCTAGTTCAAAACCCAGGATTTAAATTTTAGTTGACCTCACAATAACATCTTCAAGGATAAAGATTAAACTGAAAAAGGTAAAGCTGCTTTCTCGGTTAAATCCATCCATAAAGTCCTATCAGATTTCCCGACGATAACACTTATCAGTCCTACTCATGCGTATGCAATTGTTTCATAACGATAACGAACTGTGTCAACACACCTGAATGACGTTATGTACATTTAATTGATAAAAATCACGATTTTACTACCCATATCGATTATCGAGTTGAGGGTTTGTAATCGGAAGCCGAATTCTTGAGCGATGACTTCGTTATGGATTTAATTGATAACATATTTTTTACATGAGAACCAACTTCTTTTAATTGAATCATATTTTGTACCGTTAATAATTGTCATATTATTTTAGCAAAATAACACTTATCAAAATTATAAGATGGCACGTTTCATGTGCCATCTTCCATATTTATCGTCGTTAATATCAAGAGACGCGCATAAATAAACGATATAGCGATCCCCTTGAATATTTTTCAAGTTTTATGAAGCTTTTGATATTGTTTAGCCAGACAACAATGTCAATGATGCACATTTCATTTAATGCGACACCAATACAATAATACAATTGTCATTCTATACGGCAATCTGCCCCATTCTTTCAAGTTAGCACACTGAATACTCAAGCGATCTAGATCTTCGAGGTATTCCCAAGGGTACGACCTTGGGACCGTAATTACAATAGCAGTAATAATTACAAAGTGACTTTAAATTTCTTTGTCTACACATTTATTTGACATCGAATGAACTAATATGCGTGTCGAACTAGTGGATACATTTTCGGTTTAATACAAGGTACACAAGTAGAATATAAGTAACAGATTTCACACTTTATAATAGTGATTTTACTAAGTAGGTACTGGTCTTATCTAATCCAATAAAATTATTTTAAATTGGATTAAAATACGAATTCGTCGAAGACAATAAAGCAACTCAAAGTTTAATGATTATTGTTACTAATAGAAGGAAATCTAAACAATCGATTATAATTATCTGGTTTTTTTAAAAAATAACTCTTTATCGCTTAGTTTTGATGGATCGTGCGAGTTTCATTGATATGGCTTTAGTATCCTTAGCAACAGTAGTTCAGTGTTTAAATACATTTTATTTTGTACAAAATAATTTATAGTTACCATGCTGTAATAAACTTTTCGAAATGAACTTATGTTGTTCGAATATTTTGACATATTTATTTTAATGTGCTGGTCACGATGTCATGCTTTATTGTTTCTAATCCTTTTAAACGCTTGTAGTAAAGTTTTACATTGTATGTAGTGTTTAACATTACGGGAAATGTTATTTGCTAGTGAAGATAATGAGAATAAACGTAACTTGTTTCGGTTATATTGCAGTGACGTCCTAATTTTTAGAAATATGTCGAACAGTTTAATAATGAAATGGTTAAAAGATTGGATATTGATTAAACTCCATTTGATAAAGTTGTTTTCTAACCAACGGACGTAGATTTCTGGACAAAGACCTCCCCAAGGATTACCACTACGACCTTTACTCTTATTGATTCTATAATATAAATATTTCGATATCGTAAATGGTTTCTGTGTAAAAGCGTTTTATAAAAATCTATTTGCAGAAAATTATTGGCTTTTATGACTGTCAACAAAGTCTAAAGGCGCGCGCGCACGTGTGACATTTGTCATTATGACAGTTTGTTGCTCTTTTTCTCTTAATAAAAGTGTAAAAGAAAAAGATATACCGCCTTATACGTAGCCTTGTAATCACACTTTACCCCTGAAGAATAAATAATTATTACAACTGCATCGTTATCACCACAAATGAGTTATCACAAAACTTTCTACTCACCATTTATCTTTGCACTGATATCGTTGTTTACTTCAACCACGTAAATTATACACTCACGTTTTGAAACTGCTTTAGCACATTTTGAACCCTAAAGCGTTGGCACGAGTAAAGAATTAGTCAAATTATCGAAGTAATCGAATCTATTTACAACAGCACATCAATAGTAACACGTTGATCTAAGATCGCCCTTATTTCAACAGAAATAATGGCGACTTTTGCAAAGCAACTGTCACGCTTGAATCAACGAATATAATAAAAAGTTAAGAGTTATTAAAATTCAGTAATTCATGAAAATAAATTATTGCTCTGACATATCTATTGAAATTAAAATTTGTCTCGCACGCAATCGACCTTTGTTGTTATAAGTAAACCCAAAAAGTAAACGCAATTTATGTATAAATATGATTTCTTGCAAATAAAGTGAAGTTAATCGATTCAATTGATTACGTATAAGTAATTTCTATAACAAATTCTATCTAAGATTATGATTTAGACGATTGACAATATTTAAGAACTTGCTCACTTTTCTGCAAAAACGCACGTGATATCTCATACACTGCACGTAACGTAGAACAGGTTGTGTTGCACGCTTCCATATACTTAACAAAACCAACCTAAAATATACAGGACTCATCCTCAAATTCTGTTCTTCCAGATCCTATCCCTTTCTAAGCAAGTGGATCTGACAGAGAGGCAAGTGGAGCGATGGTGGCGCCTGCGCCGCAGCCAGGACAAGCCGTCGAATCTGGTGAAGTTCTGCGAGAACCTATGGCTATGTACCTTCTATCTGTACAACTTCTCTTATGGCGTCTTCGTGCTGTGGGACAAGGACTGGTTGTGGGACATCGATCAGTGCTATGTGGGGTATCCTCATCAGGTCAGTTGAGTAGATTTTTTTTATCCACAACGAGGAAGCTCTTGGCCAGTATCTCACCTGATGGTAAGTGACGATCAGGCCGAAGGTGGGAGCGAGCTTCACCCGGAATCCTCAACCACGGATCTATTGATATTGGACTTTTTGCGAATGGAGATGTAGGAATTGGATGTTTTGATATTTTTTGCCGGTTGGATTAAAAATTCAATCCAGCGACTTGGCCCGTGGACCAAGCTAAAAGTGGGCCAAGTCACTGGAAGACTCCTAGGTGGACCGACGATCTGGTGAAGGTCACGGGAACTACCTGCCTGGATGCGGACAGTGCAGGAGCGGTCGTTAAGGAAATTCTTCGGAGGACTTGGTCCAGCAGTGGACGTCATTGAAACGATAAAGATGCAATTAAGAAAATGCCTCGAACGAACAAGCAATTAAGAAAAGTTATTAGTACCTATTCTTATTTGAATGAATAAATAGTTCTCGATATGAAACATTATAATATGATTTTATCGATGACGTTTTTACTGCTTATAAAAAGTTAAACGCGCATATATTTTTATTGATGATTGACCCCAATCACTGAGGTTACCTATGTAGTTGTGGAATGTCATCTTAGCAGTTCCACTAGAGATAACTATTTTATTGCACTTGGTTTGGTCTCTCGACAGTTGAAACAATACTAAAATGTTATTCATCATGACATTATGCAAATGGTACTTACTTGCGTTCATTATCATCTTTTATTTATGACAACGGTATATTGTAAGGGGCGTCGTATTTTGGATATATAAAATATCGCCTTAAAACAACTAAAAAGGTTATACAAGATAGCGAGGGAAGTCGATCCTTAACTTCAAAATCCTCTTAGAGGGCGTTTATTAATTACGTAGGTGATGTTGGCCTCTTTCCCCTTGGTGAGATATCGTGAGATTTAGCTTGACTCCCTCTCCCTCACGTAAGATTTTGTGAGAATCGGCTTGATTGAACCCCTCCCCCCTTAAACGCCTCACTTAATATCCAATGGCAGTCTAACTTTCCCCTGGGACATACTTGGCCTTCACTGTCTAGCTGTAGTAGAACACAGACAGATCACAGAAACTAAAGGAAGATGTGACAAGGGGGCGGAGCCGGTGTCGCAGCAATATGCCCAAAAACAGAACACATTGCTCGTGACATCAATGATGACAGCAGCGAAGTCATAATGTAAACAGTTTACATTGTTTGCGTTAATACTAAAGAATTATTCGAACGTTGAGTACTGATACCGCAGTGGATAATGAGCACATATTTTGATTACTTTGTGTCTGTGAATTTCTAATGCGAGACTTGAGTTTCGAACTCAGCGCATTAGTTGGCATCTCTCTATACAGGGTGGAAACGTTAAGTGATCTCACTCGATTATTTCTAAACTATACAGGATATCGAAAAACTGATTACTGATTCTGAAAGTGCTTCACAAGCTCTTTCAAATGGTACTAATAATAGGTTCCAGAATAAACTGGATCTATCAGAAAATTCAATGTTTCCAGCTTCCATACATTTAGTAAAACCATGTAATATTAAAAACTATTCAAGATATTCAAAAACTGGTTACTGATCCTGAAAGTGCTTCACGTGCTCTATCCAACGGTACCAATAATAGGTTACAAAATAAACTGCATCCATCCGAAAATTCAATGTTTCCAGCTTCCATACATTTAAAACAGCCACAGTCATGGCACTCATGTCTTGATAATATTATAGCAAGTAATGGCTAAAACCAATGTTTTCCAAGAATAATTTTAAATAAGAATGCAATTTATCAGTTAATTTGAAGTGTTTATTATTTAATAAAAAAAATACTACTGATATTGTTTGGCTGGCATACATTTAGTATGGAGGCGGAAAACATTAAATTTTCGGATAGATCCAGTTAATTCTGTAACCTATTATTGGTACCGTTGGATAGTGCTCGTGAAGCACTTTCAGGATTAGTAACCAGTTTTTCGATATCTTGTATAGTTTAGAAATAATCGAATGAGATCACTTATCGTTTCCACCCTGTATATCTCTTTTCTGTAGAACCTAGTTACATAAGAGTTAAAGTTATAACTGTGGGTACGAGAATTAGGAATAGTCCCGTGTAGATGTCACACCCACCTTTCTTCATTTCCAGGGTTACACCAACGATGTATGGTGGTACTACATGATCTCATCAGCCTTCTACTGGTCTCTGACCTTCTCCCACTTCTGGGACGTGCGCCGCAAGGACTTCTGGCAGATGTTCGTCCACCACGTGGCCACCATCGCTCTGCTGACCTTCAGCTGGGTCTGCAACCTGCACAGGATCGGGACTTTGGTGCTGCTGCTGCATGATTTCGCTGATATATTTTTAGTGGTGAGTGTTGGGAAATAGATTTTATTGCAGTGTATTTAGAGTCTGGTTTTGTTGCAGTTTCCGCTCGTGTTTAAGATTCATTTTAGTGTGAACTGCGCAAGAGTTGAGTGGACTTCGCTATGGCCAAAGAGGGACTCACAAAGTTTGTTGCAGTCTGGAATAAATTAATCACGATAATATTGTCTTTATTTGGNCTAGTTCACAGACTAAAAATATTTTTATGTCAGTTGGCCATTTTTGATGACATTTCTGCTGATTTCTAAAAAATTAGACTATAGTTAATGTATTTCTGTTGCAATATTCCAGGCGGCCAAGGCGGCCAAATACGCGAACTTCCAAAGACTGTGCGACGTGATATTCGCCGTGTTCACGGTCGCGTGGATTGTCACGCGGCTGGGCTTCTATCCCTTCTACATTATATGGAGGTACGGTTGCTGTGTTGTTATTATTATACAAATACTATAGGGTTCAGCCCTGACCCAGTTTTAAATTGCCTGATCCTTTGGTAGGTCTTTATCATATTTAAGATTATAGCAGCTGCACTGCGTCCATTTCCTTATGCCCATAGCCAAAACAATATACACAGATTATGGAGCAAACTTCAAGAAACATGAGGCAAGACCGACTCATCACGGGTTCAGTCACACGCAGGCACAAGATATTCTCCACCAAAAGTGGTCTAGCACCAATGATATAGAATCCATGAAATACCTACCTACTGTGTGAATTCGACACCCTGTCTAGAATTAGGATAGGTCTTTTAGGGTTTGGTTATAGGGCATCTGAAAACAGGAACATAGTTATCTAAAAGGGAGAGAGAGAGAGTTCTTGAGAGCCTTCCATCACCGGGGAACCAGACGCAGGTTAGCGTACCATCCCTACATTGTCGACATTCCACCAGCTCGCACTAAGCGTTTCGAAGACTCTTTTATAATGCGAACAGCTAGGGACTGAAACTCGCTGCCTGCTGCGGAGTTCCTTAATTTCCTGAACACAATAATCCGGGCCTTTTCAAGGCGAAAGTGAATAGGCACTTACAGGGCAGATATGTACCATCCTAGACTGCATCTCACCGCCAGGTGCGATTGCGGTCAAATACCTGCCTTGTCTTGCATAAAAAAAAGAGTTTTTGTGACAGGAATAAGGAAAGGGGAAGTGCATATCTAAGGTGGCCCCAAATATGATTCTTCTTATTCGTTACGCTCTTGGCAGAGCCGTCGTGGTCACGTTGAGGCGTTGTTCACATCGGTTGTAGAGGCGGATACAACTCAACAAATATGATTAGGTAGAAATTTTTGGTATTAATGTAATATTTTCCTTTCAGCACATCGATCCGCGCGCCAATGCTGCTGCCGATGTTCGCAGCGTACTACATCTTCAACGCCATGCTGTGCTTCTTGTTAGCGCTGCACGTGCTATGGAGCTGGCTCATCCTGCAGGTCGCCTACAAGGCCATCAGCGCGGGGCAGGTATGGACCTTATGCCGCGGGGATACGGCGCACAGTGCGATGATGTTTTGTAGAGCTGACTCAAATCTTTAGGTCGACTCTAGACCTTATGCTGTGGGTAAAAAGCTCAGTGTGCGATGCTGTGGAGCTGGTTCATTCTACGCGGAGTGGTTAAGACTTAAGAGCGCTTTCGTGTTATTTCCAAATCCGAATCCGTTACAATACGGAGTAATCGTAGAACTATTTGTATAGTAGTTTACACACTAGATCCGAAATCCATCGTCCGATTTATCTAAAGCCCGGTCTGCGAGCACGTAGAATTTTGTTCAATGACCCCAAGCCACCCATCCTTATCGCTCGCGCATAATTATGTTGCTGTCGCGCTCGCACACTCACTGCGGGCGCCCGTCGCACAGTCGCGACAGAAATATAAT